TAAATTAGGTTTCCATGACCAGCAAGTCTTCAGGAAAATATGTATTTTTTCCTCTGTAAGGAACATTCAAACTCGACCAATTGAATTTGAGTATGTTCTTTATTAAGATACCGCTGAATTGATGCTTAAATTCTTATTTTCAAAGGTGAGGAAAAAATGCGGCAACAGTACAGTGCAATTGTTCAAAAAACCTTACAAAACAGTTCATGAAATAGCAAATAAAATGTAATTCCACAAAGGTTTTATAGCTGGCATTCAGTTGTTACAGAAAACATGTAGCGGAAAATTTCCGACTGTGGTCAACGAGGAAGCAAACCTCAACCACAGAAACTCAAACAAGCTCATGGCAGTTTAAGATGTACAGTCCTACCTAGAAAGATATCAAAAACAATGGTTGTTAATTAATAGTAGTTGATAACTTCATACAGTCACCTTCTTCCTTTGCTGGTTCCTCAGTTTGTTGTAGGATACCTTGCTGCTCTAGGTCTACAGAAATATGCATTAATGCATCTTTGATTAAATGAGAACACATCTTGGCAGGTTAAGTAAACTCTCCTTTATGCAGACGTAGACTGTCTTCAACAAAACAGAGAGTAGTTCTTGAGCTGCATGCATGACAAAAGCAGCCTATGAAAACAGCTGGTTGGACACTAACAACAGCTGGCTACAAATGAGTTTTCAGGCCTCTATATCTTTTATGCCAATTGCATGCCGGTATTTTGAAAAAATGTAACAAATGGTGACATAGTGACAAATAACATATGAATGATTTGTATAAGCTGTACCTTAACTGGTTACATGATTAGTTGCTAATGGCTAAATTTGGCATCTGCTGTAAGGATTACTTTACCATCTGGGATGCATTTATCATCTATCTAGTTTAACATCAAACAATTTTAGTGGTCAGATTTGAACAGATAAATCAATAAGCTTTTTTTTTTTTAAACAGGTTAATACTTACTGTATAAAACCTCCCTTCTTTTTGCCTTTCTCTAGCATTGCATCTGGTAAATCAAATCTAAAATATAAAGTGCCATCATGGTACAAATCCCAATTTTATTTATAAAACCTTTATATTAATTGGGAAACATCCCCAAATTTGTTTCTCCATTTTCTCTAAAATGCAGTTAAAATCTTTTTTATTTTTTTTTTAATGCAGCGTGTTTCATGCTGTGAGCTGATGTAATCCTTTCATTTTCTTTGTCTAGAAGCACTTGTTGCTTTGCAAAAACAATGGACTAGTTCCATCAAAAAAAGAAAAAAAAATGAATACCTGCTATTTAAGATTAAATTAATCCACTTTTCCCTTTACCCTAAAATGTATGACATAGTAATTAATGTTCAGTTTTACACAGGGCCTCAACAAAAAACTGACCAATTATTTTAGGAAGCTGAATAAACTAACTAAAAATCATTACAAGAGGGTATATATCTATATCTTTGGTATATTTCTATATCCTCTATATCATAGACCCCTGCCAAGTAAAAACTAACTGTGTTGTCAAATCACAACTGACTATAGAGTTCTGGTTGCATGTCGAAAACCAAATGAGTTATGAAACATTCTCCTGAACAGTTCATGTAGTTATATGCTAGATGCAAACAGTTATTAGTCAATTTGACCCATAGGTTTTACTACTTACAATCAAGTAATTTCATTTGAAAACACACCTCCTCATTGGCTTTTAAACCAGAATTAGTGTTTTATCTGTGTTTTTAAATGTACTTGTTTTCATTTTTTTTTCTTTTTCTTATATGTTTTTTTTTTTATTATAGTGAGTATATGAGTTATGTATATACACAGTTGTGATTTCTTTGTGCAGCCCTTTGGTGAGCTTTTTTGTTGTTTTCAAGTACCCTAGAAATAAACTGATGAGGTATGGTAGTCAAAAGTCATTCATAAACATCACATATGCAAAAATAGCTGGTTTCATTTATGCTTTATGGTGTATTGGATATTTGTAATATGTGACATGTAGAGGTTTAACATGAGTGGGGTTATTTCTTTATATCTTGATAGACTGTGACTTTTTCCCCTGTGACTACTGCCAAGAATTCTACCAAAGTGTTTAGATGTTGTTAGATTTCATTTCATGGCCACCTCTGGGACCTTTAGCAAATATTTTGCTCCAGTGAGAGAAGTCTCTGGCTGACTCCAGACCAGAGAGAGGAGAATAGGTGCAGAGTGCAAGCTTCAGTGTTCCAGGGTTGCTCAGCCAGTAACTGTAATTTGCTCTTTGGACTTACTCAAATTTAAAAGGAGTGCAAAACTTCTACTGATTCACATCATATTCACAGTAGCTATTTGTGCTCTCGTTGGAGTACAGAGTAAATATTAAAGTGAGTTGTAAAACTTGGCAAAATCTTCATGTGATTTTTTTTTAACGCAGATAAAAAGGAGAAAATCCAGCCCACCTACTTTGTCTACTCTATTGTTTGAAGGAAAAATAAACAATATCAGAGGTTGAGTGTAGCTCTTCAAATAAATGCTTTTCATCAACTAAAGTGTGGAAACTAGACAGAACAGCTTATTGAATTTTGTGCAGTGTATTCCTTCTACTAGCTTTTATGGAATTCACATAAATGCTTGATTGGTGAGAAAACAATACAATAAAGCCTTCATAACATTCCCCATCAATCAGTGAAGCTAATAGAAACCTGATGAATTTTTTAAACTTTAAAGTTTGTCCCTAGTCAAACTCATCTGAACCATACATCCATATTTCCTCTTCAACTCAAACCAGATCTTTAGAACCCTGGAAAAGGCGTAATTGTTTTATTCAGGTGAGTTAAAGCAGCGTTACATTGTAGCCTGCAAGACACCAGCTGTTTAGGACTGGAGCTTGAACTAGACTAAAACCTTAAAGGGTCTTAATAACATATTGAGGATACATGAATGTGGTAGTGTATTTATCATAGTACAAAATATTGCCATCATGAAGGATTCAAATCTCAGTAATGCTTATCTTCCTATGTACACCATCCTGTCAATGCAAAAGGATATTGGCAGGATGGGGACAAATATTTTATTTTTCCCTCTAATAGATAGATGAGACTGGTGTAGAGGATCAAATCCTAGCAAAAACCTCCTGGGACAAAAAACGCTGCCCTTATATGTAAACTGCTCAAAAAATAAAGGGAACCATTAAAAAAACACACAATCTGAATAAATGATGTATTATAGTTGAAGATTTTGGATTTGAAGATTTGGAATCAGTGGAGGACTGATTCAGCTTTGATTTAATGTCCTTAAAAAAGGTCAAAATGAGCCTCAGTGTTTTGTGTGGCCTCCACGTGCCTATGTGACCTCCCTAAAATGCCTGGGCATGCTCTCGATGGTCTCCTGTGGGATCTCTTCTCAGACCTGGACTAAAGCCTCCGACAACTTCTGGAGAGTCTGTGGTGCAATGTTTTGTAAGCAATAAAAATATGCTTGGCCAGTAAATAATTTTATCTTGTGGTCAATTTGACCATTGTGTCAAAAAGTTAATTTTGGACCTTGCCTACATGGTGTTGGCCTTTGAGCACAACCCACATCTGTGGACATCAGGCTCTCATACTGTTCTCATGTAGTCAGTTTCTAACCATGTGTGCAGTACTCCTCCTGTTCCTCCTTTCAAAAAGCCAGAGGTAGCGGTCCTTCTGCTAGGTTGTTGCGCTCCTACGGCCTCCTCCATGTCTCCCAAAAACCAGCCTTTCTCCTGGTAGTGCATCCAGGCTCTGGACACAAAGATGACAGACACAGCAAACCTTCCACAGCTCGAATTGACGTGCCATCCTGGGTGAGCTGGACTAACTGGGCCACTTGGGTTGTATAGTCTGCTTCACCACGAGTGTGAAAGTACCACCAACATTCAAAAGTGAACAAAACATCAGCCAGAAAGCACAGGTACTGAGAAGTCGCCTGTGGTCCCCACCTGGACAATTTTATTTGACAGAAGTTTGATTTGATTTAAGTTATATTGTGTTGGCTATGTGTTCCCTTTATTATTTTGAGCAAAAAAATAATACAATATATATATATATATATATATATATATATATATATATATATATATATATATATATATAAAAAAAAAAAAAAAAAACTGTTTTCTCACCCCTCGTGGGGTGGTATGTGTCATCCTCAAGCTCGGGTCCTCTACCAGAGGCCTGGGAGTTTGAGGGTTCTGCGCACACATATATATATAGCCCCCAGTGCTCCAATTACCACTGGCACCACTGCAGCTCTTATATATATATATATATATATATATATATATATATATATATATATATATATATATATATATATATATATATATATATATATATATATATATATATATATATATATATATATATATATATATATATATATATATATATATATATATATATATATATATATATATATATAAGAGCTGCAGTGGTGCCAGTGGTAATTGGAGCACTGGGGGCTGTGACCCCTAAACTAGGAGAGTGGCTACAGCAGATTCCAGGTAAAACATCAGAGGTCTCTGTCCAGAAGAGTGCAGTCCTAGGAACAGCTAAGATACTGCGCAGAACCCTCAAACTCCCAGGCCTCTGTTAGAGGACCCGAGCTTGAGGATGACACATACCACCCCATGAGTGGTGAGAATTTTTTTTTTTTATATATATATATATGTATAGGGAGAGGGTAAGATAGGAAGATTTAGAGATATATAGGATAAAACCTAGTTATCTGTGTTTCTTCTATGTAAATATCCTAGTTTCAAATGCACATAAACTATGTTCTATTAAAACAGACTAGGATAGCATAGACTATCTTTATCTGTGTATGTACTTCCAAGTGAGGCTAACTCCACCTTTATTTGAGGCATGGGAATGTAAAGAGCTCTGTTCAGTTTGCTGATAGCCTTAGCTTCCATCTTGTCCTCTAACAACATCAGCAAACCTCTGGTTTGATTCTAGGATTCATCATAATATAGATAGAAACTCATTTTTTTTTTTCTCTCTCCCTGACTGTTTGCCTGCAGTGTTCTTGGTCCTGCACTGACGTTCAGGGTCGGCCCAAACCCTAAAAACGTGACCACTGCAGATCTGGTTCAAGTTGCAGGTAAGACCAATATGCTTCCATTTCTTAACAGAATTAACCGATTAAAGAAATTCATTCTAATTCATTTCCACTTTACAAGGTAGATCATTTTTTTACAGTGTTCTTGGCATATAGTTTAGGTTCATGGGTTTCCATCATCTTTAGTCTTTAAGAGGATTGTCAATACTTAGCATCAGTAAGAGAAGTAATGATTCCCCCATCCACCCATTCACATTTTTGTACACAATACACAGGACAGTTTGTTTGGTTTGTTAGGACCAACAGACTGACAGCTCTGAACTGGTTTGTGTTGGCCAATCTGAGTTTGTACGTCTGCAGTGTGCGCTGGATTGATGTAGACTGATGGGGATCTGTCACCCAGCGACAGGTCGCTGTCAGTACGCTCCTCTGCTCATTGTCTCTGCTGCGGTCAGTGAGCCGTGTGGTTGTTCAAAGTGTGTCCTTGTTTCAGCCGGAAATGACTTTGAGCAGAGCAGTGCAGCGAGGCTTCAGTGTGATCCAATACTCCCCTTGTGAAATCAAAACGGTGTTGTTATTGGCAGAGTTGTGTTGCTGCTCTTATCTTTGTTTCATTTTTTTTGTGTGTGTGTGTTTGTGTTTTGTTTGAGGCAACATTTGTTTTCATATAATTGTTCATCAGTTCCAGCCACAACAATCTACGGTGGTTTAGATCGTCAGGTTTAGAGTGTAGTCTGTGATTTAAATAAAATAAATCTTCTCTTTTTTGGGTTCTTTTAACACGTGTTGCTGATTGGGATGAGATTTCGTGTGGTGAGAGCTAATGACGGGCATAAGCTGGGCTGAAATGTCAGACCAAATGTTATGTCAACATCATCATGAGCCTGGTCCACTGTGATGAATTATGAACACAGCCAGCTTAAATAGCATTTTGTTCAAGTGAAGGAAATTTCTACTGAAAACAATAAAAATAAAAGAAAATAATTCACTTTCATCCAAAATAAACATGATATGTACTTATGAAATGCATTAAAATGCACCAAGAAATCATAGAGCTTGATTGAAGTAGCCTGGCACAAGCTTTATTCCCTGTACTCTCGCCGCAGTGTGAAGTGGACAGGAGTTCCCACCCTCCTCCTGATGTTCAAAGCAATCTGAAATAAAAGCGTTTATATCCATTTCCAGCTACACAAAGCAATCAGTGACATTGACTTCAATGCGATGTGGCAAAGGCGTGATGATTTCCAAGCAGCAACCAGGCTGCAGAGCAGCAGCACTGTTTTGGCGCGATCTAAAAATCAAAGTGACGCCCACATACAGTGGCCACCTGGGTAATCCTGACTGACCTTTGCCTTATGTGTGACTGTGCATAAATGACGTGGCCTTCTAATGAACTCATCAAAACCCCCTGCTGCAACCAGAACCAAGTGACCTGCAAGAAGCTTTGTTGTAGTTATTAGGCATAAAATCCAGAGAATTCTGCATATTTTAAGCTAATTGTGACCAGTTTTTAGGCTTAAAAACACATATAGAGAAGCCAGAAATTCATTATCTGTGTGGGAGTGTTGTGCTGTTAAGTAAATGCACTTGAATTTTTATGAAGACATTAGCATTTTTTTAAACCTGCAGCTAGTAAAGATGTTTTGTCTCGTCTTGTTGATGTCTTGTTTTGTTCACACATTATCTTTCAAAGCAATAATAAAATATAGTTAAAAAAGAAATTGTGCCTAATGTTTAATTATTACAGTTTTTAGAGTTGATCAGCTGTTAACTGTTTGCCAAGCACTTTTGTGTGAAGGTGAAGGTAATCCAATTCAAGATGCTGAAAATCATATAAAGACCTAATGCCAGTTTAAGGCTTTAAATTTCCCTTCAAAAGGAAATCCAAAAGAAAACAAAATAAAGCAAAAGTAAACAACTGATGATTTAGTCAAAGCAGGATATGTTGTGTAGAGCAGCGGTCCCCAACCACCGGGCCGCGGACCGGGACCGGTCCGTGGGTCATTTGGTACCGGGCCGCACAGAAAAAAAGTACATACATATATATATATGATTATCGACGATCAGAGTCTGAGTGATGTTTTATTTTGAAAAATATAAAAAATTGCGGTATTCTCTCCCAATTACATCAGTCGGTGCATCTGTGCCTCTTGACACGCCTAGATGGGACCGGCTTGTTGTTTTATTTTATGCTGTTTGTATTTAATTTTATGCCAGTCGTCATGGGCGGAGTTTGGGGGGGGCAGGGGGGGCACTGCCCCCCCATGGTGGCTGAAGCATGTAATGACATTAAGTCAAGGAAATGGCAAAATATAAATGTTAAAAATGTATACGTACTGATTGTTTAATGTTTTGATACATATACATGGTAGTATGAAATTAATATGAATCTTAGTACATTTTTTTAAATAGATTTATTTTTCAGCAATCATGTGACATAGTGACGTTGAATACTGTTTCCCGCTACTTGGGGGTTTCCCACTCAGTATTTATCTCGCTAGCATACAGTTGTAGCCTTGTGTAAGTGATTGCAAACTGAAAATGGATATTCGACGTTTTTTAAAACGTCCCATGACCTCTGCCAACACTCAGCAAGAAGACCAAGCAGAGCCAGAACCAACAAATGCTGATCTGGAAACACCTGGGACCAGCTCGGCAAACCCAGCTAGCTCACCATCTGGAGCGGGGCTATCGTCGGGGTCAGTTAGCTTGCCTAGCAGCTCTACTATGGTGCAGCAGCTACCAAATGATCTTGGCGACAAGCACTGCTCTCCTAAGCAGCCTATTCTTCCAAATTTTCCTTTAAAATTGTTTGGAAAAACTAAACGAGCCTTTTCCACGTACTAGTACAACAAGTACTGTTGGCTTGAATACTCAATTTTAAAGGATGCCGTCTTCTGTTTCGCCTGCCGCCACTTCCAGACTGACAGCAGCGTGGAGGAATCGTTCCGAAAGGGCATAAGTGACTGGAAAAAACTAAGCATCAAATTGGAAAAACATGCAAATTCTCTGGCCCATCAGAACTGTATGGTTAAATGGGAAAACTTCAAACAGAGCACATCTGGAGGATCGATAGCTGCCAAATTGTCGGAGAGCCACAACGCTACAGTTGAGAAGAACAGATCTTATCTTTGTAAAGTCGTGGATATAGTGCGATTGCTGTCTGCACTTGGATTGCCTTTCCGTGGACACAGGGAGGCTATCGATTCAGATTCTCGGGGGAATTATCTTGAGGTTTGCAATTTTTTCTCAAAATATGATTCTGACTTTCAAAGTATGCAGTCTAATTATTTCAATGCAACAAGTCCAGATTTTCAGAACGAAATAATTGAGATATGCGCAAATTTGGTTCATGCAGAAATTGCAGAGAAAGTGCAGGACGCAGGGTCTTTTGCGGTTATCGCAGATGAGGCCAGGTCATCCAAAACTGAGCAGCTGTCAGTCTGTTTAAGATATACAGAGCAGCTTCAAATCAAAGAGCGTTTTTTGTGTTTTATTGATTGCTCCGCATCTCGAAATGCAGCTGGGATCGTGGATGCCATAAACAGTGGATTGGAGATGTGCGGACTGAAAAATATCCCAATTGTTGCCCAGAGCTACGATGGTGCCTCTGTAATGTCTGGCCGAGTGTCTGGAGTGCAGCAGCGCATTAAAGAGATCCATCCATACGCAGCGTACATACACTGCTTGGCTCACAAACTGAATCTCGTACTTGTGGACTGCTGCACGGTGAACCGTAGTGTTAAAACATTCCTGAATGTTATCAACAAATTGTATTCAGTATTTGCAGAGCCTGCAAACCACCATCGCTTTATTGAAGTCCAGAAATCTCTGGATATGAAGCCAACCGAAATTGCACAGCCCAGCGAGACGCGCTGGGCATGCAAGTGGCGCGCTCTGCATGCCGTTAAAACACACTACTCTGCGATTACACAGTGCCTGAAAGAAATGAGTGATGAGGGAGAAAAATGGTCAGTGGAGGCCACTGGTCTATGTGAGCATATGGGCAGGTTGTCATTTATTACATGTCTCATTGTACTTGAAGACATACTGCGTGTGATTCATGTCACACACAAAGCCCTTCAGTCCTCAAGTCTCACACTTTCCGAAGCGGCTGTGCTCACCGACAACCTGAAAGCGCACTTTGTGTCACAGAGACAGACTGACAAATGGAATGATGTATGGGGATCAGTGAAACAGTTCTGCCGAGACAAAAACATCACCGTACCCGAGGATGTGAATATTCAGAGTCAGACACCTGCTGGTCCTGGACCACTTGTACTGAAAAGAAAACGGGCCGCACAACCCCCCACCTCCCTCGATAATTTCCTGATAACAACGACTTTGGGCCACAGAGAAGAAGAAAATGATTTAAATACTGTACAGATATCCCAGAGTGAGACCCCTGGATTCCAACAGCACCTGTATTTCCCAGTGCTGGATACCATAATTTGCGAACTGGACAGACGATTCACGGGAGAAGCTGTTGAACTCGCACAGGCCTGCGCAGCAGTGTTAAGATGCGACAAAAGTGGAATTGAGCCTCTCGTACTAAAGTATGCACAGCTTCTGAAAATCAACCACCACCTTGCTGGGGCAGAGATGGACCTTGTTAAAGCCTCTATTGTCGGATCTGTGTCATGTGAAAACCTTCAAAAAACTGTAACCAGGGCCGTTTATCCAAATCTATACAAGCTGCTGCAGTTGGCACTGACTCTACCCGTTGGATCTGCCACTTCCGAGAGGAGTTTCTCTGCAATGAGAAGGATTCGCAACTGGCTACGCTTAACAACAGGAGCTGCACGGTTTTCACCCCTTTCTGTGCTTCACATCGAGCGCGACATCACTGCCAGGCTGTCACCTGAGACGGTTGTGGACGTTTACGCAGGACGCAAAAAAAAGACGGTTACTTCTGCACTAGGTAAGACTTTCTTTAAATTAATACCAGCAACTATGTTGTACTGTATGCAGTAATGTAACAACTGGTGTTGAACATTATTAATGTTACATTAATCACTTGTGCCATCATGCGTAATGCGCTT